CCCCCTCCTGGGACCCCTGCTCCTAACTGCCCTCCAGAACCCCACCCCTACCTAAGCCTCCCTGTTCCTTGTCCCCTGACTGCCCCCTCCTGAGACCCTACCCCCTACCTGTACCCTGACTGCCCAAAGCCTTATCCAGAACCACCCCCCCAGAACTCCTGACCCATCCAACCCTCCCCCTGCTCCCTGTCTCTTGACTGCTCCCTCCAGAACCTCCCTAGCCCCTTTACCGTGCCTCTCAGAACAGCGTGTCGGGCTCCACGCGGAGCTGGACACGCTGCCGCGCTCCCCAGCAGAGCGCACAACCTGGTTCCCGCCCCCGCAGAATGCTGCTGAGTGGCGTGCTGGGCAGCGGGGGGCAAGGGGGGAGGAGCAGGGGAAGGAGCTCCAGACTGCCGGAGGCCTGTTGCGAACAACCGGCGATCTGCGAATGCAGGGAGGGGGAAGTGGAGGAGGGGCTCTGGCTGCCGGAGCCCCGTGTGAGTGGCACGATCCTTCTGGCTGCCCTGTCAGCCGCGTGTGCTCTGCATGTGGGGGAAATCCGGATATTTACAAATTCCCTCCGGATGCTATTTTTAACTCAGAAAAGCCGGACATGTCCGGGAGAATCCGGACGAATGGTAACCCTATTCATTAATTGCATGCAGTAATGTAGCAGCTATGTTGGTCCCAGGATATTAGTGAGACAAGGTGGATGAGGTTAAATTTTTTTTTTTTTTTTAATTGGGACCAACTTTTGTTGGTGAGAGAGACAAGCTTTTGAGCGTACACAGCTCTCTAAAGCTTCATTAATGTTATCATTTGCATGACAGTAGCACCCCACAGACCCCAACAGAGGTCAGGGCCCCATTGTGCTGAGCCTTGTAGGGACCATCTTTTACTATATGTCCATATCTCAAAGAACTTAATAGACCAGACAGAATTGTTATCTCCATTTTACAGGAGCTAAGACACAGCGATACTAACCTCCCTTTCTCTGTGAGGTCACAGATGTTTAATAAAACCTCAATTTTCAACTTTGCTAACCCTGATTCACTGATATTAACAATTTGGGAGCCCTAAATGAGAGAGTTCTTTGGCAATATCAGGTATATCAAGAAGCATATCAGTTAGATTGGAGGGCCAGAGGTAGTCCCAGGAATCTTGTTACTGTAAGCCTTGTAATTTTGCTATGACCTCCATGGAAAGGGAAGCTTTTACAGGAAATGGTACTGTAAACGAGGCTCTGGACTGCTCTTGATGCAGTGTTTCCAGGCTAGGAGCTCTAAAAGTCAATCTCACACATTCCCCAACATAGTGTGGCATTGGTCAATGAGGCCAACATGGTTGCTAACTAACATGGAATTTCTAACTCAATGGAGTTTGACACATGACATTCCAGCCGTAATAAAGGGTATGACTTTTGCAAGAATGAAAACAATTTTTTATTTAGAAAATAATTATGTTCCTAACACCCTGTTGGATTATCCTGAAACCTCCCCCCAAAATTCTCTTCTGGCAGGAGAGCACTCGTGAGAAATTTCATCTGGAAAGCCTCTTTCCTCTGGAAGTAAAAGGGTGAAATTTTGGTTTATAATGGAAATCTAGTCACAACATTAACTAATGTCTTGATAACAGGTACATGTAAGAGTTTCTGATAAAAGAACCACTTGTCAGAATCAGTTCAGTCTGAGAGCAAACCATTTTCTGGAGCTCTGTGATGAATAAAAGGAGGAACCCATTGGTTTAACCTCTCTCCTTGTATTTGGTTTTGATTAGAAGCTGTGGAGAACAATGCCTCCTGACCCTTCCAAAAACCCCTCCCTGCTCTAGAGCCCGAGAAGCAGAGGGCAGCCAGCATTGAAAGTGGCTGTGCTTAAGATTTCCTGTGCATAATAGTGTTAGAATTTAAATGTTCCCGGAAGGCTTTGAAGTTGACACTTGATGAAGATGAATGGCGTAAGGGGCCAAGGCCTCTAAAGGTTTGTTTATAGAAGGGATGTTTTAGTAAAAATTTCCTATTGGTGGACGAGTCAGTGTTTTTAACACCATTCCCCAAATCCATTTGGAGCAGGCCTAATTAGCAGCCTAGTGGCCGGGAGAGCCTTGCCTGCTCCAGCACTCCCGGTGCTGCTACCACCAGTGACTCTGCACACAGGCTAGCAGTGGTCTTTTAAGCCCCGATCCTGCAAGGCTTTACACATGTGTGACTTTGTGCCTTGTGAGTAATCCCATTGAAGCCAATACAGCTACTTACAGTGCATAAAGTAAATCATGTGCATGAGGTATTGCAGGTCAGGGCCTTAGACTGACAATCCCTTCCCTAGGAACATTACAGTTAGTCCGTTTCGACAATGCCTAGCATGACCTAACTGAGACCCTTAGGAACTGTCATCATGGAAATGTTAAATAATAAGATTTTTTTTTTTCCAGAGGGAAAAGCCTACTGTTAGTCAGGCTTGTCGTCTTATTTGGTGGCAATGACTTGTTCTCAGTATCAAAGCAGGGCACGCTTTGTCATGTGTTTCAGCAGTAATTTTGGAATGGGCCATGCGCTGTGGTATAAGCGTGTGATGATGGTACCAAAGTATACAGAGTACATGGATGACGCTGGAGATGCTGTCTTAGACCTTCTCTACACTAGAAAGGGGTTGCTGGTATAACTCTGCCAGCAAAGCCTCCTAGCAGAGAGAGAGCTTGTGCTGGCAAAAGAGTGTTTTCCAATATAGTGTATACCAATTTCTGGCATGAAATAAACTGTACTGGCAAAATGACTCTTTTGACAATGTAACGGTGTCTA